CTCGGGTTTCTTTCCATTGACCACGCAGAGCGATCGAGATCGCGAGCGTGGTCGACCAGGAGTGTCTTCCCGCTTCGAAGAAGGACGTTCTTCGCTGTTAGCTCGACTGCGCTGGCGAGATTGCCGTTGCTGTCCGGAGACAGCGCTAACGGAATTCGATGAAAAAAATTTTCCCATAAGCGCGGTGAGCTTATCCAGCTTAGCGTCGATCGCTGAAGTCGCAGTAGCGGACACGGATGCGGCCGCTACCGTTGACGAGAGCTCGTTAGACAGAGCTTCATCTGCGGCTTCCGCCGCATCTTGTGGAGTCTGCACACGAGCAGCCTGTAGCGTTTGCTGTAGGCTGGTAGGCAACGATGCCAACACAAAGCTGAGAAGGATTGGATCCGTAGCTTTGTTTTCGCTGGCAATACGGAGCCGGCGAAGGAAAGCGGTAGGCCGCTCTCCCTTCTCCCGCTTGGTATTGGACAGGAAGTCGTGCATTGCCTGGTGAGACGTTTTGCTAAAGTCTTTCTCCAGCCGTTGTCTCAGTAAAGCCCACGAATGTCGGCTGGCATCTTGAAGGATGTCAGCGGCTGCATTCGCAGCTCGCTCTGGAAGCCGAGAGGCTACAGCATAAAATGTGGCTTTATCGTCGACCAGGCCGACGTCATGAGCCATCATTTCAACCTGTGTAAGCCACAGCTTAATATTACCCTCGTTGAGTGGGGGTAATACTGGCATTCGCCGGCCTCGATGAGGGAGGGCGATTGCCGGTGGTGGTGTCACCGGTAGCGGGGCAGACAATGCTGCTGGTGTCACCGGTAACGGAGCAGACAAAGCTGCTGGAGACGGCTGTCCTACGACAGCCATAGCAGCTGGTAACGGCTGCTGATGACCACTAGGGTCGAGCGGAGGGAATCCGGGGGGAGGCCGAACTCTGTTCGCGCCGGGAGCTCGATTAAACGAAGCTGGAAGGCCGTCTTGTAAAGACAACCGTTCGTCTCCGCTGCGTGGCGGAGACTGAGCTATCGAGCTCGTCGCGCTCCAATATATAGTCGCGTCGTCGGCGACAGTGCTGGCAGACGAACGAGCACGAAAATTCTCGTTTCCGAAAATGTCGAGCAGGTCTGCCTCAGCGCTCGGCGTTTCCGTAAAACTTACGAGATTCGTAGTGTTTACGAAGGACGTGCTCGGCGCTAGTTGCTGTTGAGCAACGGGAGTTGGAGGCGGAGCAGGTGGTACTCCGAAACTCGTGTTGCTTTGAGCAACGAAGCCAGCGTCACGGTAGACAGAGCCGTCAAACGGGTTTCTCCGGACAGCTGGCTGGGTTGGTGTTGACGAGATAAGGCTACCTCGTTGAGAAAACACCACCCCGGAATCGGGGCTAAACATAGCTTCCCAGAAGGGCGTGCTAGGAGCGCCGACCACGGAGGGTGGGGCGCTGGAAGCTACTCGAGGAGAGCTGGTAGCTCCGGCTTCAGAGCTGGAAGCCGGGATTGGCCGGCTGGAAGCGGGAGTATTCTCACCGCTGGGTGGACGATTTTGGTCCATCGTTTCGTACGCTGAAAAAATGTGTACCTTCCCCAACGATCACGTCGGGGTCACCAATTGTGGGAACTCGGGCTGGGGTAGCCCGGGAGTCCACCACGATCTCTCGATCTGACTCCAAATAGTTAGGTGCACGTAGCGTATAAAAC